TAAACAAATCTGCCGTACTCCGATAGCCATATCGGAGTACGACAGCGTTTTGATGCCCCACGTAAAACACATAAGAGCCCTTCCTCCCCATCTTACCTCCATTCCCGGCTGGACGTCATCCCCATCGTCCGAGGCCTGCTGCACGTGCAGCACGTGGATGGGAACATGAGAATTAGGGCAGGCACGTCAATTAGGGCAGGCACGTCAATTAGGGCAGGCACGTCAATTAGGGCAGGCACGTCAATTAGGGCAGGCACGTCAATTAGGGCAGGCACGTCAATTAGGGCAGGCACGTCAATTAGGGCAGGCACGTCAATTAGGGCAGGCACGTCAATGACGGAGGCGAAACATACACACACCCCTCCCCAAACCAGCCCCAGCCACCCTCCATAGCATCAGGAACAAGAAAGAGGGTAAGGGGTAACGAATCCACAAAGAAAAACGACCCTGGCACAGCTGTGCCCCACAACTACCTGCCTGCATCAAACAAATCTGCCGTACTCCGATAGCCATATCGGAGTACGACAGCATTTTGATGCCCCACGTAAAACACATAAGAGCCCTGACCCTCCCCCCCATCTTACCTCCATTCCCGGCTGGACGTCGGCCCATCGTCCGAGGCCTGCTGCACGTGCAGCACGTGGATGGGAACATGAGAATAAGGGCAGGCACGTCAATTAGGGCATGCACGTCAATTAGGGCATGCACGTCAATTAGGGCAGGCACGTCAATTAGGGCAGGCACGTCAATGACGGAGGCGAAACATACACACACCCCTCCCCCAACCAGCCCCAGCCACCCTCCATAGCATCAGGAACAAGAAAGAGGGCAAGGGGTAACGAATCCACAAAGAAAAACGACCCTGGCACAGCTGTGCCCCACAACTACCTGCCTGCATCAAACAAATCTGCCGTACTCCGATAGCCATATCGGAGTACGACAGCGTTTTGATGCCCCACGTAAAACACATAAGAGCCCTGACCCTCCCCCCCATCTTACCTCCATTCCCGGCTGGACGTCGGCCCCATCGTCCGAGGCCTGCTGCACGTGCAGCACGTGGATGGGAACATGAGAATTAGGGCAGGCACGTCAATTAGGGCAGGCAG